TGGGAGCTAGTTTTTGCGTAGCGGGTTGCGGGCTGACATCAGCCCCTTAATTAAGGGCAGCCAGCGATGCCACGTCAGAGACAAGAGAGCACACACAGCGGAGGATTCAATGCAGGAGCTTCAGGGATACGAAGAAGGGCTGTCGTTGAGTTAACTTTTCTGAGAGGGCACAGGCAAGTCACGATTACTCTTACTTCGGAGCTTACTCAGTATTCTGAGGAGCATTTTTTAGCTTGCGAGGTAGCTAGTGAAAGGGGGCAGGAAACGGGCACCAAGAAGCGATTGTTTGATTGACAGCCCCATTGATTGACGGGACGGTTGGTCGCAGGGCTGCTTCCGGGGCCTCGGAGCCCGCATGCTAATTCAGAGGCAATAGTTGCATTGATAGTTGGTTGTTGGAAGCCCTGGATTTAGCTGTTGGACGGATGAAGATCGTGACAAATAAATCATATAAATCACTTCTGCTTGAACTTATCATAAGACAGTTGCAGCTATGCTATTATTGCATCGGAGAACAAGGAAGACAGGGAAGAAAAATATCTCTTATCTCTTCCTTTTTCTTTTGGCTGTCCCCAACCAGAGTTCCTTATGAGTCGCTTTTCAACCGAGAGTAGCCTTGGTTCCTGGCCGGCTAACGAACGCCCTTTCTTGCGCGCCTTTTTTTTTGCCTTTTTTTCTTCCTTCTCTTTCTTCCTTTGCAGAGCTTCGATGATGCGGCTGGCTTGGGCTTACCCGAATAATAAAATGGCCGAAGAAGAAGAAGAAGAAGAAGCTCTTTCTCGCTCGTTCGTTTATGGAGCAGCGGAAGGAGTTGAAAAAAAAAGAGAGAGAGACGGCAGGCTCACGGTAAGATACGGTAATAAGTGACAGTACACCATATAAATGTTGGATACGGCGGTACTAGCGCGCTCTTTCTGGTAAGGCACGACCTCGCGCTTAAGTCCAGGTCCGCGTCATTGTCCAATCATGACGCGCCCTAGCACGTGGAGCTCCCGCCCCACTTATCTAGATTGGGCAGAGATTTCGCGTTTAATTGGATTTAAGGTTCCCCAAGTGGGTCCAGCTCGGGTGTGCCTATTGGAAATCCGCTTTCTTTGTGCAGGTTGGTTGATTGCTCCGATGCTAAGACAAGACAGCATGGGTAGGGCTGTTCCTACGCTGGAACTCGTCACATTAGTCTACTGATTTTTTGCGTGAATTCGTGCATAGTGCAAGGTTTTTTAGCTTCACTCCGATTTTTTTTTCACCTTCACTTTCTTATTTCGCGTTCTCGTCCTGGGGTGAAAACTTTCGTCGTGTTTTTTTTGGTTGGTTTCCGGTACTCTGGCGCAAACGCACGTCAGCGCTGAAAGCGACAGAGAAGCTTAAAATTAGCCTAATTAGCGAACGGCTTTTTGGCGCAGCGGAACATCTGTAACCAGCTATTTAAGTGGTGGCTATATCGGCTGACTGGAAGTTGCCTTGTTAGGGCGGCAAGGCAGCTTCCCGCCATGTAAGTAAGTAACTTGGTGCTCGCTGCGCCGCCGCGTACTGCCAATTCCCCAGCTCCGGGGGTGACGGCGTTCCCCTGCATTTGAAGATGACAACACCGGGATTGAAAGCCCTATTATTGGTCAGAGTAGCGCTAGTGTGGGCGCTTAACAAAAGTATATACAGGGAAGTTTATTTTTCCGCGGCGTATTGGTGTAAGGTACGACGGTTACAGAACCACGATACCCGTTGAAAATAACGGTTTTCCCGTACTGCGAAGTTACTTACTGCGTACTCCGTACAGAATATGTCTTTTCTAGAAAAGCAAAAAGGCGACGATGGGCAGCGACAGACGAGAACGGAGCGGAGGAGGGACTTGCTCCATAACGAAGTACTTACTTATCGTGAGGACGGGTGACAAAGAGAGACACTCCTTGCAGACAAAAAAATAAAATAAACACAGCTTCCAGGGAGAAAAACGTGGCATGCTCTGTCTCTTTTTCTCCCCGGACTGCCCATCAATTTAACCGAAAGAGTCAGTGATCGTACGAGCAGCGAGGACGAAGAAGCAGTATACTTAGTATGATTGACGCTTACCTCTTTGATTCGGGGTTGTCGGAGAGTTGGTTGCAGCCATGGATGCGAGCCGGGGTCGCCGCAGTTGCAGGTGGTTATTAATAGGGCCTTGTCCCTGAAGATGTTTGAAATACCGCTGTGGATGAGACACATCGTGCCTGATGCAGCTTTTCTCCGTCCAGAATTAAAGAAGAAGAAGAAGGAGAAGGAGAGTAGTTATCGGATCTCCGAAGTAACACCATCAATGGGGGGAAGGCTAAATTGATTAACCATGTTACCGTACAGCAGACACCCCCAGAGACATGCATACAGAAAGCAAGACAGACAGAGAGACAAAAGTGCAGAAGAAAGATGGATGGGGGATATAAGGAAAATATTTCTGATGCATTCGCTGCAGGCGCCGTGACTGTTTTCAGGATACAGATCCAGGCCCGAAGAGCGACGAAGAGCCTATCCGCCTCTTGCTTCAAGAGTCCCAAGTTTAAAACAAACGGACAAGTCAAAAATGACATCTTTTTTCCGCCCCCCTTTCTTTGCCGCCCGTCCATCTGTCCATCCATCCATCGCTGGGTTTCATTCCTGGCAAAACGGTTAGAAAGAGGGAACGGAACCGCTGGGTCGAGAAGAAATCCACACAGGCATTCCAAGGCTGGTTTCTTATTTATTCAGTTGTCATTTCAACTGTTTGTCCCCAGCCGCTTCGCCCCGTTATTATTACTCTTCTTCCCGGCTTTTCCTTAGCAAAAACGTAAGTTAAGCAAGGGAGGTCATTTTTTTTTTTAATTTTTCACACTGCTCACACGAGCGGCGAGCTTTGTTTCGCGTGCCCCCTGCTAACGCGGCGGCGATTGGGGATTGAAATAAATAACTACTTTTATTCGCCTGGTTAAAAGAAAAATTACTGTGACGTTTATATTTCCTAAAACTCAGTACCTGTGCATGGATGGGCGCGGATGTGACTGGATTCCTTTGTATCGGGTTCGGCGTTCATGAAACCAGGCCGATGGATCGAATAGCTAACAGTTAGTTAGTTAGCGGACGAACGACCTACCTGCTTTGGTTAATTCTGGCCCATCGAACCAAGGACGGTCTGAGGCCGAACTAGAGCACTATGGGTGACGGAGAGAGGTATCGGCTGGGGGTGAGCAGGCCCTTTTGTGGTTTTGTGATTCGGATGTGCTGGGCCCAGAGAGATCATCGATCCAGTTTCCAGGGTGAACCTCGCTGTCGCGTGTAAGTATAAGCTGTAAAAAGCGTCATCGTATATACATAAGTATATGTTGATCATCACACCCGAGGTTAAGGAAGGATTAAACCTCAGCGACGCCAATACCAGACAAGTGTTAAATATCACGGCAAAAACTCTAGATAGGGCGTCGAGAGTCGAGTGAAAAGCAGCGGAGGCCTCGCCATCTGATGCATCTGATCTGGAGAAACCATGGCCGGACAAGACGCCCGGCGATGATCTCGAGATGGCCTATCAAACCAGTCCGCCGTCTGTATGAATGAGCGTAAGTATGGATGTATTTGGATGTAAGTATGGATGTATTGGGGTGTACGTATGTATGAGAAGTATAAACAGCCAGAGGCTCGTACTGGTCGATGATGAGACTTGATACTGGGCTGGGCTGGACTGAAACGCGATAGCCAACAGGCGCATCAACGAACGCAGGGAAGCATAAACCGATCTGAGGCGATAGACGTTTCAGTCGGAGATGCATATCTGATCTCTGCGGTCGTACTTGATAGCCCAGCTATTAGCCGTAGTAACTTAGTAGTATGTACGTACTGTGTAGCTAGGCGCGTGTGTGCCATGGTCGCGAAGGGGCCCATGTCCGCTCGATTGACTGGTTAGCAACGCCCGGGACGAAAGCCCATCACGTCGCATCGCTGCATCGTTCTGCTCGATCTAACTGCTCGATTTCCAAGGCAGCAGCAAGAGATAAGCTTCGTGGCCGAACGAGAAGAGCCAATCCAGGCGCAGGATTTGATATAACGAAGGCCCTGTGGGAGGGTGGTCTGGCCCTTTTTGATAGCATGTGTATGTAGTAACTAGTTATGCTGCTCTGCTGACCAGTTGAAGGCTGCAAGTCTGGGTGCGCTTGAGACAGAAGAGGTCGACGCTATCGAGCCGCAACCACAGAACGGCGGGCTTTATATCGATTCTGGCGATGGCGAAGCGGTTTCACAGGCCCCTGGGACCATGGGCGACAGGCTCCTGGAATCAAGGAACACTGCACACCCAGCCGGTCGACAGGAAATCAAAGAGTGACCACACCACCCCGTAGTTTACGTATTACTTGTTGTGTAGTTAGAGTGGCGATGATACACATGAAAAGATTGTTTGTTTGTTGATCTGATGTAAGTAGAACTGGTTGAGCCCAGTGTAACTGCTGGGAACTACAACTACGGCGTATCATTCAGCAAGATAGAAACCTGCTTCGGACGATGGCTGCTGGTCATCAGGACAGCAGATTCCAGAACAAGCAAGGACCGTGGGAAATGGGACGACCGTGTGGCGATCTAGCAGGTGTTTGAATGAAAATACATAGAGAGAGAGAGCCAGGGGGAGAGCTAGAAGAGGTTGAGAGGGACCAGCATACAGATACAGATTAGTACGTCTGTGGTTCGATGCGATCGCACGGCGCCATCGGCCTTCGTATCGGGCATGACCCCAAAAAAAAAGGGCCAGATAGAGACGGTGATTGGCAGATCTGACAACCGCAGCGATCGAGCAGCAGTTTGCATGAATATCAGATGCCGCAGTCAAACACCATCTTGAAATTCCCCATCTTATACCCCATCCCCCATCAGCGAGCTTGGTGAGACTGGGAATAGGACTTGATACGGGCTGTTTTTTCGACGGTGCTTGCAGATACTGCACGGAGTAGATGTAGATATAAACAAGGACAACCCCCCCGCGTCCTCCAACATGTACCCTAAGAGCAAAGATATTAGCCACCCAAAGGGGGAGCCACTTTTTGCCATGGAGAGGACGTCATCGATCGAAAGGGGGAGGCTCCTCCGATCTCCCTATCCAGCCGAAGAGGGCCCCCAGGGGGGGGACATCCCTCAACAAGCCAAGTGACATCAGCCTGAGGAGCTCTCGGCCCATCCTCGCAGACATGCCGGACGATCAAGAGCAAGCAGCAAACCTGGAAAAAGCGGGGGAAAAAGCCAGAAGACGAACGACGATGAAGCAGCAGAGCCAGCAGCAGAAATGGGACATCCGAGCATGCAGATGTGGCGAAAGACGAGCTGCCGGAGATGAAAGCGGCTCCTTCGTAAGCGTAACTAAAGGAAGAAGGGGGGACCTGGCTTGCTGGCTTGCTGGCTGGCTGGCTGAGCAGGACAGGACAGGACACATCCATACACCCAGCGTATCCCTTCTGTAAGAACATCTGGGTCCATGATTCTGGAAGGTCAAGAAGTTGGAACTGCGTTATGGCCCTTTTTTTTTTTTTGTATTTTCTTGTTTCTGTAGTTTTTTTTGCAAGTACTGTAGTTATTTCAATTCTTCTACTCTTCGACGTCCTGCTGCTCGACTATCCCAAGCCACCGATCATCTTCCGTTCCATGGAGCAGTCAGTTGAGCAGGAGGAGCGACTAACGAGCTAGCTTACCATCGTACGAAGGAGAAGAGAGCGCACAGCAGAGAGAAGGGGAACACGGTAATGGACGGGAGCCATCCATCCCTGGAACGCCATCATTCGTATATGTGTATGCAGCACAGGCAAAGCAAGCAAAAGACGAAGACGGACGACGGCCCACGACTGGCCGGGCGAGAGGCCCTGAGCCGCATCTCAGCCTGCCTGCATATTGCATCGCATCGCATCGCATCGCATCGTCCTGTCTGTCATCAAGTCATCAAGGTGCCCTGCGATCTATCTGTATGCCTGGAGAGAGAGTCCACCGGTGGAGCACGGCGAGTGTCAGAAGGCAGGCAGAAAGGTCAAAGGGCTGAGACTTGGGGGTGGTGGTGGTGGTGGTGGTTGGTGGTATTTTGCTTCTTCGTGAGCGCCGTTTCATTAACGATCCTGACTAGCTGGCTTCTCTGGCTGGCGATGGCCCCTTCGCAAGCAGCAAAGGCAAGCCCTTGAAGCCTCTTTTCTGGTCGGAGAAAAGAAAAGAAAAAAGGGACGAAGCAGATGAAGATGAAGAGAAGCGAAGAAGCAAATATACCAAAAAAACAAAAAAAGGGTTGGAAAGTTCCTTGGACGGGGGGGTTTCTTTGGCGTATTTTGCATATGGTTGGTATTACGGATACCGGTCTATAATACGGAAAGCCGTACCTGACATACGATACAGTAACTTAACTTGACATACAATACGCAACTCCCCATCGAAACTTCGATATCGAACATCTCTGTCTGTCTGTCTGTCTGTCTGTATAGTTATACGTTATATTCGTCGGGTGGAAAAAAAGGGGAGACGGCGAGGAGAAAGACATAGATGCAGGCAGGCAGACCGGCGAATCCTGCGCCCTCCGTCTGCTCTATCATCATCTCCTTCTTCTTCTTCAATTTTCTATCTCTATCATCCTTCTCTGCCTGCCTGCCTGCCTGCTTCCGTGTCGCACGCACAATCAACGGTAACGTCTCAGGTAATACACAACACACACCACCACCACCCCCTAGGCGTCTGCCTCTTTGCTGCCTCTCCCTCCGCCTTTAAAAAGAAAAGAAGAGCCTGCATGGTCAGAGTATAGGCAAGAGGCAGCAGGTCCCCTTGTCTTCCCTTGTCCCCTCGTGTCCAATCAGTCGCGCCCTCTGCTCGCTGGGCAAAACCCGCCCCTAGTAACCCTCGCAGCTCCAGCAGCCAGACGGCCCTGGCCTCTCTCGAGCCTTACGGAGTACACTTACTTACTCTTACCTGGGTTACCTTACCTTACCTTGACTTTCTTACTAGTGTGAGTTGTGGGTGCTAACTGCTCTCCAACCTAACCTCCGTCCATCGCTCGTTTCGCTGCGTCTTCTTCATCTCGTCTGCGTCCTCTCCTTCTTCTCTCTCTTCTCTTCTTCTTCTTCTTCTTCTTCTTTTCATCCCCCAGGAGAGACAGCTCCTTTATCTCTCTCCCTTCTCCCTCCTCTCCCTCTCTCTCCCTTTCTCTCTCTCGTCTCTCTTCCTCTCGTTCGTCTTGTCCCTCTCAATTCTTTCCTCGTTCCGGATCCGCTTGGGTTGGGGGGCTTGTATCGACCACCGGCTTCAGAATCTGCAAAAAAGGGAGCAAATAAGAAAAAAAAACTTCTTATAACAACGCTTCAAAGTGGAACTGGACTATACTCGTCTCCCACCCGGCTTGCAAAAGAAGACTGATCAGGCTTGTTCTCCTTCCGTTCGTCGTCTCTCTTGCTTGTCTTGCTCTTGTCTTTTTCAACTTGCCCCCTCGCAGGAAGAGAAAAAAAGCCAGCCGTCCACCACCTTTTTCTTCTTCCCTCTTCCTCTCTTCTTCCCTCCCTCTCTCTCTCTCTCCTCCCCTGCCTCTTCCTCCCTTCTCACG